ATCATAAATTTAATTGCAGTTTGATGTTCCTATTTTCCGAAAAGCTTTTAGAATGGAACTTCTGATTCTTTCACTGAAATTAAAATAAGTTGACTTTTTTACGATTTTCTGTCCTTCGTCTCTGCCCCGGGCGGCCCGGAAGTCGAATGGTTAGCGTGTCGGCCTCACAGTGCAGAGGTCCAGAATTCGATTCCAGGCTTTCCTGTGTAGAGTTTGCATGTTATCTCAGTGCCCGTGTGGGTTTTCTCCGGGTACTCCAGTTTCCTCTCACATTCCAAAAACATGTGTGGCAGGTTAATGGAACAATCTAAATTGTCCCCTAGGTGAGATTGTGAGTGGGAATGGTTGTTCGTCTATGTGTGCCCTGCGAGTGGCTGGTAACCAGTTCAGGGTGTCCCCCGTCTACTACCCGAAGACATCTAGGATAGGCTCCAGCACGACCCGTGATCCTTGTGGGGATCAGCGCATCAGAAAATGGATGCATGGATTGATGGATGGATGTCTCCGCCCTCTTTTTCCTTCTACAATATTGACGTCCCCCTCTGGTGTCAAAAGCCCGCAGGGTCTTCTCCTAACTGTCAGTCAGTCACTTTCGTTTAGTGTTTGTAGTCCGTAAAGACCCTCTGATCCATTATAAATAGCTCTAAGTGGCACAACATAGTCTCAGTGCTGTCACTCATCACTTCCTATTCGATTCTCCTACTTGTTATCCTGGCCAGGTTCTCACAGCGGATATGAAGATGGACATGAAACATTTACTGCTTTTGTGTGTTGTTACACAATTACAATGAGCCTGTTCTCCCGAAGCATTTTGGATGATTCTTTTACTTTTTTTTTTTAGGGCCTTCGAATGGCAGAGCGAAAGCCTTCTTGAAATTGCTCCATTTCTTCATCATTCTTGTTCTCAGGCCAAAATCTTTTTGGAGGGATTTCTCATCCTCAAAAAGTCAATTAATTTTATTCATGCTAGTTAAAACTTACACTTGGTAGGGGGCCATGTGTGAGACCCCACTGGCACTTTCAATAGAAAGAAAGAAACAGCACTCAGGCAAGTTTCACTTAATCTTGTGCTGAAATGTTTGTGTAGTTTCTTACTAAACTCTTTTGAGAGAACACTGGCCTAGAATTGTGTCACCTACAGCAAGGGCGGCCCGGTGATCGACTGGTAAGCGCGTTGGCTTCACAATGCAGAGGTGCAGGGTTCGATTCCAGCTCTGGCCTCCCTTTGTGGAGTTTGCATGTTCTCCCCGTGCCTGCATGGTTTTCTCCGGGTCCTCCGGTTTCCTCCCACATTCCAAAAACACGCATGGCAGCCTGATTCAACACTCTAAATTGTCCCTAGGTGTGATTGTGAGTGTAAATGCTTGTTCGTCTGTGTGTGCCCTGCGATTGGTTGCCAACCGGTTCAGGGTGTCCCCCGCCTACTGCCTGAAGACAGCTGGGATCGGCTCCAGCACGCCCCGTGACCTTTGTGAGGATAAGCCGATCAGAAAGTTGATGGATGGATAGATACAGCAAGTGAAATATTTCCATGGTTAAAACGATTTTATTCGTGTCTATTGATTTTTATTGGTCTCGAGTGGCTTATTAAAGCAGAATGTCTGTCCGCCTCATCTTTCCCCACTTTTTTTTTTTTTTGTTAATTAGATTTTCCTTTCTATTTAATTAAACGTTTATATTCCATAGTTGCAGTAAAAAGACTTCGTGGCAGAAATGTTCTGCTGAGCGAATATTATTCACCAGAATCAACCAAAGATCAAGACTTTCAAGGGCAAACATGAATTGAGGTTTGCAATTTTTATCATGTGACGCATGCAGACACTTTCTTTTAACCCTTTCACGCACCCTGTAACCTGATAACAAGGTAAGCTGTCCTTTGTAGTAACCGCTGTCCCTGAAAGGGTTAAAGAACCATATGATGATCCTTTATTTTGGACCTACTGGATGTTTTATGTAAAATGTTTTCTTTGTTTAACACCGAGAGTTTGTCCGGATCTCTCCTGTAGTAACTAGTCCATCACCCAAAGCCAGCAGTGATACGCTGCAGATCCTTAGCGTCCCTAAACAAGGACAAGCACAGCACAAAATTGATTCATGGAATTTTCGGATCTCAGAAACGCCTTCTGCTCACCTCAAAGAATTGTGGTCCTTGAAGTGCACCATAGCAACAGCCAGTCATGATGAAATGACCTCATGCGTGACATTGAATGCTGGCAAAGGAAGAAAGAGCGACAGTAAGCCCTCTGACCTTGCCCACCTCAGTTGACAATATTGAGAAATGACGGCTTCCGCTGTATTTGAAGTTTTGGCTTCTTCCATTTACCGTATTTTCCGCAGTATAAGGTGCATCTAAAAGCATCCAATTTTCTCACAAGCCAACGGTGCGCCTTATAATCCGATGCACCTTATATATGGATCAATATTCTAATTTCTTCGACGTAGTATTCTAAATGTTCTGTAAAGTGCTTTGTTACAGCTCCAGCAGTTGTGAAAGCGCTCTATAAATAAAGCTGTATTGTATTGCCTTTTGCGAAGCTCCATCTAGTGGATGTATAACGCAACCTCAGCCTCTATGGTAGCTTCTATTCTATGCGCCTTATAATGCTGTGCGCCCTACATATGAAAACAGTTTTAAAATAGGCCGTTCACTTAAGGTGCGCCTTAAACTCCGAAGCACTTCATAGTGCGAAAAATACGGTACTTCTTTCCTATTTGGACTGGCAATAAACTATGTTTTGTTATGGGATGTAGATTTTTCATTAATTTATGTGTTCAAAATAAAAAGATCAATCAATCAATCTCTGCACAAATGTGTGTGTGTGTGTGTGTGTGTGTGTGTGTGTGTGTGTGTGTGTGTGTGTGTGTGTGTGTGTGTGTGTGTGTGCGCATGTTTCTGTGTTGTGTTGAGAGAACCACGCTGTCAAACTGTGATTTACAGTACATGCTCCCCCGTCTCACAACTTGACTAGACATCCTCCGACGTGTTCTCCCGACACGCACCCTTTCCAAATCCTATTAAGGGCACCAGCCAGTGCCAAGTAACCTACATTCCACTGTAATCACACTGTGTGACCGAGGCGTGCGATGCTCTTGCATCCACATTGGAAAAAAAAAAAAAGACAACAAATCCTGTTGGCGAAGCGAAAGGCTGCAGGCATTCCGAGGCCGAGAGAGGAGAACATTATCTTTTGTGCATTTAAATCGTCTTTAGAAATGGAATCTGTCCTTTTGGGAGTACCGTATCGTTGTGGATAAGCTCCAAGTTTCTATTAGTGCCGGCAGACGATAAAAAGGGGCAGGAGTCCAAATGGATGAGCTGTATCGTTGGTCAATGTTACATTTGATCTTACTTAAGAGAAAGTGAAAGGATTTGGAAGCGCCTCAATATATTCGAGATGATATTGCTCAGTTTTGATTGACACTGCCAGAGAGGCATTCACATTAAAAACCACTGTAATTGTAGTGTCACGGTGCATCATAACAAGGGTTTGTTTTTAACCACTTTTTTGTCGCTTATCACGCTGTACAGTATCTCCATCCATTTTCTAATCAGCTTGGATAGGCTTCAGGACGCTCCCGCGACCCTTGTGTGGGTAAGCATCCAGGCGTCTGGAACGACCCAACTGTGTTGTTCTTTCACGCAAATGAGGGCATATCAATATCTTTCCCTCCAGTAGCAGCTGATAGTTGTTTGAAAGTTTGTCTTCATTTTAAAGTTCGACATTCGGCTGCAGGGTTTCACGTGACGCTCTGAACGTTGTGACCAAGTGTGAATGTTGTGACCACACGCACGTACACGCGCGCGCACACATACACAGATGCTCGCTCACGTTGCTCATCTTCCTAGTGGCTGGCATGTCGTGTGTGTGTATGTGGGTTTTTTTCTGCCATCCACACAAGAAATCATGCACAATCACACCCATGTCACATTGAAGGGGTTGGGGTCTGGGGCAAAAAAAAAAAAAAAAACTGCCGGAAGGGTAAATTGGTATTAAATGTGAGATGGTAAACGAATTCCTGCAGAAAATATGCAGTCAGTGTAATTTGCATAATTTGATTTCATTGCCTTTCTCCAACACAGTGATGAACAGAATCTGCCTGTTTGGCCATGCACAAAATGATGTTAAATTGATACTTTGTGCACAAGTGCTAAACTGACAACAGTGATGGATTACTTCTATCTATCTATCTATCTATCTATCTATCTAGCTATCTATCTATCCATCCATCCATCCATCTGTCCATGATAGTCAATACAGACCATGACGTCACTCGTGGGCTGCCTGACATCTCGGAGGTTACGTCACCCTACTGGAACTTGCACTCTGGGTTTCCCGACATAAAAAGGCACATGATGTTCAAGCGAAAAGTGGACGAGCATTTTGAAAGTAGTATTAAATACACACACGTACAGGAAGACAGCGTACAAACGCGCGCGCACGCACGCACACACCAGTTTATTCGCATGTTGGTGATTAGAATTCACCTATCCTTATTAGGCAGCAGAACATTGTGATACGGTTTATTATCGAAAACAGATATCATAAGATTCAGGAATGCAATGGAAGAAATAAAACAAAGAACAAAACCAAACAAGAATTTTCAAATTTAGCGATTATCGAGCAATATATTTAAGTTACAAAAGTCGAGGAATCCTGCAAAACACTCCCACCAAAACATGCAACAACAACAACATAATAATCATAAATAATGATTTTTCTTTTCAATGTAATTTCAGAGGTTTAATCAAATCACAGTTTGTTCCAGTGCAGTACAGGAAATAGAAATAAATAATCTAAAATACATGTATGCCATATTTCTCCTTCAATTCAAGGAAACTTATCGGTTGTTGCAACGAGTTATGATGCTGATGGAGACACGTCCCCTCAGTTTTGCACCATTACGAGGTAATGCTGGCGGTAGGGGGGAGGGGAGAAAAGGGGGAAAGAGGAGGAGAGTTTGATTGTGTGCGTGTGTGTGCGGATAGTGGAGACGCCAGGAGTGTGCGTGCGTGCGTGCGTATGTGTGTGCGAGAGAGAGAGTGAGAGAGGCAACCAGTGAGTGTGTGAGCCATGTTGGATGTGAGCGAAGGTGTGGAGAGATGCTGCTGCAGCTCCTGACGCACGCAGCCCCAGCAGCATCACGCACCACAGCGGGTAGATGCCAACTCTCCAGGCTGACGAAGAGACGGGGGAGCCTGGGGGAAGGGTTCGGGCGGTGCCGGCGCTCCTAGAAGTGGAGCGGAGGAGAGAGAAGTGACCGGGGAAGAAGGAAAGACGGTCTCTTTGGAGAGATAGGTGGAGGAGGAAAAAGGAGGAGGGGAGAGACCGAGAAAGGAAGAGACTAAATGGCTACACGGCTACCGGGCTTCACCCCGCTCTCGCCTCTGGGTCTTCACCTGCTACTCTTCCTTGGCTCTTTGTTCGCCCTTAGCCCGCGGGTGGTGAATGCAGCGGGGGCTTCCGACCTGAGCACCTCGGGGCCCCGTCACCGGGATGCCGGTAAAGGGAGCGAGCGGTGCGAGCGAGAATGGGAGCCGCCGGGGGACAGCAGGACACGACCGCAGGGAGGAGAACGACCAGCAGCTGCGGGGATTCCGGGGCCACGAAAGGAGGCACGGGAAGGAGTCGGGACGTTTTGGAGGCGCGGAGACGAGTCAACGATGCTACCTCCTCCTTATCTCCTCCCCGGTGTGACACACGAGAGCCGCGCTGGATGGCTGTCGGAGAAGGGCGTTGTTCCGCCGCTTTGCACCGCGGCCGCTTTCGGCTCCTCGCCGGTTCGGAGTGGTAAAAAACGGACAGTACAAAGGACTACCGGTGCTTGCGCGCTGCCACGGCCACACCTAACTCAACGTGGCGCAGCCTTTGTGCGAGCGTTTGGCCTGCGCGACGCACCCGGAAGTGGAGGAAGGAGTGGCGGAGGGGTGTGGGAGAGGGCTCGTGAGGTGAGCAGACTCGGTGCCCCCGTCGCGCTTCACGAACCATCGTCGGACCCCGTGCCTTGTCGCATCCTTTCTCGTTTTGGATACAATTCAACGTGGACAGAGGCGTCTAATCATCAAGTGGAAACACACTCTTGTTTTAGCAGCAATTCACTTTGGATCCACGTTTCGGAATTGACTGACATTTTAAATTCCACTGCATTCAGTGTGTTCCAGCATTCAAGTTATCGACACCAAAAGGCATATGAAGATTATGATGATGATGATTGTGATGGTATTGGTGGTGGTTGCAGCAGGGTTAGGAGCAGAGCTGGTAATGGTTCTCATTTGGTCAGGCACAGTGTTATCGACGCAAGTGACATCCGAGTCGGGGCTGAGGGAGGTTTCTGGCCCAAGTGCGTTAGGGGGCAGACGAAAGACTGGTTAGAGGTGGAGGAAGAGGACAGATGTAGTGCACCGGCAACGTTTAGGTCCCGAGAAATGGGTGAGAGCAGGGCTGGAAGAGGAGGAGGGGTGAGCCAAGGCAACACACGCATTAACTTATCTAATTATGCGGATAATGATTTGGCTTTTGTGAGACTGACTCGACAATGTCGGGCTGATAATGAGGGGAAAGCTGCAGCTACAACCGGGAGACGGAGCAATGAAGTGAGGGGAGAGAAGAGGGAGGCTACCAGCAGTTGTTGCAATTTGAAGAGGTTAGGAACATGTTGTGGATTGTTAGCTGAGTTTATTTTTCTCCTGGGAGGGAGGACTCAGGGGAATCCCATCCTTCAATTTCGACTAGACAGCATCAGAGAGGTGGAAGATCACTGTTCTCTTTGTAACAAAATTCATCAAAGCTTACAAATAAGGCATGATGCAGAAATCGAACCCACTGAACTTTTCCTTATGTCTGTTGAAAAAGTTCAAGCAACTTCAGGGGCAGCTGAGTCAGCATTTTCTATGCAAGCGACGTTTCCCGTTCACTCAACCAAGCTTAGTCCTTTTTTGCAACATGATTTCATTTTCGCGAAACATCCCCCCTTCCCTTCACAAATCAACCTAACCACTCGGTCGAGTGAATTTCCTATTTTGCCTCTCTCTGTGGGAAACAAGTGGGATTCAGCACTTGGGACAGCTCCCCTGAATGTTGGAGTTATGTGGCGGGGATTTAACATGAATAGTAATAACAACAATGAAAAAGAGGAGGTGAGGAAGGCAATACATGTTTTCGGTGAATCAGAAATAACTATGTCCAGTGAGCAAGGGCCGTTAGATGATGTCAGACCATCAGAAAGGCGGCAGATGGGGGTTGAGGGAGGAGAGAGGAGGGAGGGCGAGGCTGAGGGGGACGGTCTGGAGGGCCCTGCTAGGGGAAGAAAATTACAGGTGGGGGAGGGCGAGTTAATGGGAGGGAGAGGACCGTGGGGAGAAGAGGAGGATGAGAGGCAAAGCGAAAGCGGGACAACAAAGCCGGGCCAAGCTGAGGAGAGAGCGGTAGAGGGAGGGAAGGGTCAGGATAGGTTCAGTAGCACTGCCACCGTCACACAGTCAGATATGGAAAGATGGAAGAAAGAGAGCCAGGCTGATGAAAGCCACGAGGGTGAGAGTGAGCCAGAGGGGGAAGCCAACAAGAGGCGCAGTTCAAGGGGAGAGAGGAGCCTGGAAAGGCTGATAATAGAAGCAGATGATGAGACCTCGCTGGAAGAAAGGGCGGGCATGGTTTTCATGCCGTGGTCTCGCTCTCGACGGGCAGCTAACAGGCATCCTCATTTCTCCCTGTATAACTACCAAGTACAAGTAGCTGAGAACCAGCCACCTGGGACCTCGGTAATTGTCATGTCTGCCTCAGACCCCGATGCAGGGGATGCAGGCAGGGTGAGCTACAGCATGGCTCCACTGATGAATAGCCGGTCTTCAGACTATTTCCACATCCACCCTGATACTGGCCTCATCACCTCCACGCAGATTTTAGATCGAGAACACATGGATCTGCATTATTTCCGGATCACGGGAACTGACCATGGCTCCCCTCGTCTATCCGGCACCACCATGGTCGCCATCACGGTTGCGGATCGCAATGATCACTCTCCTATTTTTGAGCAGACAGAGTACCGGGAGACCATCAGGGAGAATGTCGAGGAAGGGTACCCCATCCTTCAGTTAAGAGCGACAGATTTAGATTCCCCGTCCAATGCCAATATTCGTTACCGCTTTGTCGGCGACTCTGCCACAAACGGGAGAGGCGCCTTTGAGATAGACCCGCGATCCGGACTCATCACAACCCGTGGAGTTGTGGACAGAGAGACGAACGAGCACTACACGCTCCAGGTGGAAGCCAGTGACCAGGGCAAGGAACCGGGCGCACGCTCGGCCACAGTTCAAGTGTTCATCACAGTTTTGGATGAAAATGACAATGTGCCACAGTTCAGCGAGAAGCGTTATGTGGTAGCCGTCAAGGAGGACGTGAGACCTCACTCGGAGATACTCCGCGTCAGTGCCACCGACCATGACAAAGACGGTAACGCTGCGGTTCACTACAACATCATCAGTGGAAACAGCCGCGGCCAGTTTTCCATCGACAGTGTCACGGGCGAGATCCAGGTGGTGGCGCCTCTGGATTACGAGGCCGAGCGGGAGTACACGCTCCGCGTCCGCGCGCAAGACAATGGCCGACCGCCGCTTTCCAACAATACCGGCATTGTGAGCGTCCAGGTGACCGACGTCAATGACAACCCGCCCATCTTTGTCTCCACGCCATTTCAAGCGTCTGTGCTTGAAAGCTCGCCCGTCGGAAGCTCTATCCTTCACATCCAAGCCATCGATACCGATGCTGGCGACAACGCACGCCTGGAATACAGATTAACCGGCACCAGTTCCGACACGCCGTTCGTTATCAATTCTGCCACAGGCTGGGTCACCGTCAAGTCCATTCTTGACAGAGAATCCGTCGAACACTATTTCTTTGGTGTGGAGGCCAGGGATTACGGAATGCCCCCTCTTTCTGCCACAGCAAGTGTGACAATAACAGTTATGGACGTTAATGATAACCACCCAGAGTTTTTACAAAAAGAATATTATGCCCGCCTGAATGAGGACGCCGTGGTTGGAACGAGTGTGGTCACTGTCACGGCTATGGATCGGGATGTCAACAGTGCGGTGACTTATCAGATAACAGGTGGGAACACCAGGAACCGCTTTGCCATCAGCACCGCAGGGGGTGCTGGGCTGCTTTCCTTAGCCCTCCCACTGGACTACAAACAAGAGCGGCGCTACGTTTTAACCGTCACCGCTTCAGATCGCACGCTCCACGACACCTGTCAGGTGCACATCAACATCACTGATGCCAACACGCATCGGCCCGTGTTCCAGAGCGCGCACTACTCTGTTAGTGTGAATGAGGACCGGCCAGCTGGGAGCACCGTGGTTGTCATCAGCGCAACAGATGACGACGTCGGTGAAAATGCCCGCATCACATACTTGCTGGAGGATAATATCCCTCAGTTCCGCATCGATCCTGCATCGGGGGCGATCACGCTGCAGGCGGAGCTTGATTATGAGGACCAGATGACCTACACGTTGGCTATAACAGCCAAAGACAACGGCATCCCGCAGAAATCAGATACGACATATGTGGAGGTGAATGTCAATGACGTGAACGACAACGCACCTCAGTTCCTCAGCCCCAGATACCAGGGAACCGTGAGCGAAGACGCCCCTCCCTTCACCAGCGTCCTCCAAATCTCAGCAACCGATCGGGACGCACACGCCAACGGCCGCGTCCAGTACACCTTCCAAAATGGTGAGGATGGAGATGGAGACTTTACCATCGAACCGACATCTGGCATCGTGCGAACCGTCCGCCGGTTGGACCGCGAAAGTGTGCCGTTTTACGAGCTCACCGCATATGCCGTCGACCGAGGTGTACCGCCTCAGCGAACGCCAGTCCACATCCAAGTCACCGTTCTCGACGTGAATGATAATGCCCCGGTCTTCCCTGCTGACGACTTTGAGGTTCTGGTGAGGGAAAACAGCGCCGTGGGCTCTGTGGTTGCCCAGATCACTGCCACGGACCCGGACGAGGGTGCCAATGCCCAAATTATGTACCAAATTGTAGAGGGCAACATTCCCGAGATATTCCAGATGGACATCTTCTCAGGGGAGCTGACATCACTTATTGATCTCGACTATGAGGCTCGCAACGAGTATGTCATCGTAGTCCAGGCCACCTCGGCTCCTCTCGTCAGCCGGGCTACTGTACGGATCAAATTGGTGGATCAGAATGACAACAAACCCACTCTGCAGGACTTCCAAATTATCTTCAACAACTTTGTATCAAACCGTTCCAACAGCTTCCCCAACGGGATAATCGGCAGAGTCCCCGCCAATGATCCTGATGTGTCGGACCGGTTGTACTACACAATTGACAGGGGGAACGAGCTTCACCTGCTGTTGCTCAATCACACCAGCGGGGAGATCCGGCTGAGCCGTAAACTGGATAATAACAGGCCGCTGGTGGCTCCCATGCTGATCACTGTCACAGGTAAGAGAGCACAAATGGGGACATGGGAGGGAAGTGCGGGTGGGGAGGGGTAAGAGTCTACTCTGCCAAAAGCCATGAAGATAACTGAATACTCCACAGGTTCGTTAGCATGCGGGTGAAAAGCTGAGAAAGCTTTTTTTTTTTCCTCTCTCATCTTTTCAATGGTGGAATGGCATGTGAACATACCTGCTACATTGTTAGCTATGGATTCATGTCACGCGCTCACCAACATTTTGCCTTAAAAGTAGATCATCCAAAATGGGGAAAAAAAAAAGGATCCTTCGAAGGGTTGTTTGGTGTTGTCTAGTTGAAGTCAAGGGTAGGGAAATCAGTGGTGACAACATTCACTTATACGTAGGGCATACGTGTGGTTTGAGCTTGCGATGAGTGAGACAGCAAATAATTGAGCTGTCAATCAAGTGAGGTCAGGAGTAAATGAATGACGACAGGTCAAATCACGAGTGAGTAAGGTGTTCATTGTCCATTGTTACATAGTGCTTGAATGGTTTTAACAGCACGCCTTTCATCATCAATGTGACTAGTTTGACTTGACTCTTCAACAGCCATTGGCTATGAACCATATTTAGTAACTTGAGTGGTTACGGTACACTGCAATAATTTAAAATGACATGTATACACTAGGCGGCTCACAATGCAGAGGTCGTGGGTTCGATCCCAGTTCCGGCCTTCCTGTGTGGAGTTTGCATTTTTTCCCCGGGCCTGCGTGGGTTTTCTCCGGGTGCTCCGGTTTCGTCCCACATTCCAACAACATGCATGGCAGGCTGATTAAACACTCTAAATTGTCCCTACGTGTGAGTGTGAGCGTGGATGGTTGTTCGTCTCTGTGTGCCCTGCGATTGGTTGGCAACCGATTCGGGGTGTCCCCCGCCTACCTCCCGAAGACATCTGGGATAGGCTCCAGCTCTCCCCGCGACCCTTGTGAGGATAAGCGGATCGGAAAATGAATGAATGAATGTATACAGTATGACCATCCCTTTTGATGAAACATCCAAAGGAAGTATTTCAATAAGGGCCCGTCTTCTGCAGTGGTATCATTGCTTGTCAGTGTATTGTTCACATTTGATTTGTGAGTGATATGCACTCATCTCTTGTCTCACGTGCCGTGCGCCATGTGAGGAAGCTTCAGTTATTAAACGGGAGTCAATGGATGTCAGACGCCATTACAGATACTCAATAATCAGACAATATGTGTGCGCTGCAGACTTTTAAATGTGCCAAAACGCTGCCCCCTCTGACTTGTTCTACAGAGCATTCGGCTTGCTTGAACTGACTCACAGTGTGTATTCATATGAGATTCTCCCACTATCTTTCCCCTCCAGGATGTGACAGTTATGAGATTATAATGAAACTCCAGTCAGGCTCGGAGCAAAGCTGTCACTCTCTACCCCTCTCTCGCTTGCTCTCGCTCGCTCTTGCTGTGTGTGTGTGTGTGTGTGTGTGTGTGTGTGTGTGTGTGTGTGTGTGTGTGTGTGTGTGTGTGTGTCTGTGACTCCTCTCCTTTTTGATTCTATACACACGTGTGGATCCACGGATGGATGGATGAATTAATTCCTATCAGTGGTCTCTCTCTTGTCTTGTTGCCCTCTCAGTCTTCACTGTGCTCTTATCTCACCATCCATTTTTTTGTTTTCACTTGTGCACATAGTTGAACTCACCTCTTCCTTCTCAGAATGTTATCCTGAAAACTTCTCCTGGGTCACTTCTCCTGCATGGCATATTGTTTTTTTTTTTTTCTCTTGGCTTTTCTTACCGCTTATCTCCTCGCACCATTGATGTGTTGTCGAAATGCGTACATGTGCGTTTATGCAAGAGTTAGGTGGACTGTGGCCAGGAGTAGGCAGAATTTCGTCCTTTTTTTTTTGTTGCGTTATGAATAATATTTGTGGGGTTTTCGTTTTCATTTTGAGATCAAAAAGTGTGTACTCTCAGGTGGCTCATAAGCTCAATGCTTCAGAGTATTTGTTTTGTTTTCGTCAAAAGTATCTGTGCATGGCAGAGAGTACCGGGGCTGCACTCCCCTCTTTTATCTTGGTCTCTACTCCAGTTTTTTCCTTCTGTCAGCTTCTACTCTATTGGTTCTCTGCATAATTCCCATGTTTCTGCTTCATTGTAGTTTGAATGCGTTGCCCATTCATGTTTAGCCAGTTTTTACACGCACAATTATGCACAAAATATCGTGCCGCAGGGTCACCCAGCATACTGCAGACAATTCATGTTTTTAATTGTACCAGCTCAAGGTGACCTTGATCAAAGCCCAAAAAAAAAAAAACAAAAAAAAAAAAAAAAAAAAACAATCAAGTGGCCAAGAACAGCTTTGGTTGTACTCGCCAACTCTCAGAGGCAAGGCTTTGCTGGGTGACAACAAAAACATACAATTTGTTCCGGGACACATCAATGGTAAATAGTGTTCACTCACAGTGGTGGAGCACAGTTTTGGAAACAACAACAAATGCTCTCACCGGCACAAGTACAATATAAAGGCTGGATCAAAAATGTTGATGCCTTTACAAACGTAACGATGCCCGTTTCTGATATTTCATTTAAAAAATAAAAAAAAATGGTGTAGTTATCGAAGCATTTATAGCAAGTAGCTTCTAGCAACTGCCCACCCATTTACCAGGAACTACTTTGTCATGTCCACATGAATCAGAATATTTTTAAAATGCATGTCTTGGTTGTTCTGGAGTGACAAAAAAAAATCGAATATCTAATTTCATCTATTGGCATTTTAACAGGAGCTCTGTGGACAGTGCAAATAAATGTATTTGCAGGTTTTTGAGTCCCGTTTTAGCCAAGCAGAAAGCCTAAAAAAAGAAGCAACAACTGGCTCTGTCAAATATTGTGACAGTTCAGTTCTTCAATACAAAATATTTGTGATAAAATAATAATAATCATCATAGTCCTCCTCCTCCTCCTCTATTTTAGTGTAGGTTTAAAATTAACTCAACACAATTGGCATGTTTAAGTGCTGACATTGCTCTGTTGACAAAACTGTACGAAATTTTGTACAATATCATGCCATAAATAATAAAACACAATCTAAATGTAAAAAAAAAAAAAAATCACTGATGAAAAGCTGTTCTCACAAATGTGATTTTGTTGACGCAGCGTTCATTAAAGCTTGGCTTGTGTGTCAAGGAAGATGTTCCCAATTTGCCATCACACTCATGTTTGTATTGTGAGACTCTTAGCAGTTTTCTTCACTACTCAGAACCTAACACATGAATTTGAGCTTTGGCGGACGTTTATGCTACACTGAGTGCCATTCGAATTTAATATGCAGTAGAGTTTTGTTTAGCATGCTGACTCTGCAACCACAGCCACCTGCATGCGCTGACTATACCGTATATATAATGTACAGCGGAGCCCGGTCTAACAACACTATAGCGCGCCTTTACCGGCCCATTAGAAGCCATTAGGGGTTCCACAGTTCCTTGCCAAGAATTAAATGTTTCAGGTGGTGCAGAGAGTCCTAGTTTTCGCCGCTCCCCGAAAGGCTCAGGTGGCACAATGGCCAGCAACCATGTCAGAGCCTTCGACCCGTGACCCTGTCGGCAGCTTCAATGCTTGCACGTAACAGCTTCAACAGTTTGGAAAAATTCCAATTTGGGCAGGCAACAGGAGGGCGCCACGTCCCACGCAAATCAGTCTCAGGTGCTCGACTGAGGCAATGAGTTTCACAAGACTGCAAAATACCAAATGATATCATACAAGGACACTGGCGATAAAATGAAGACTGTTAGAATCACAGCAAATAAATCTCTGCACTGCTTCCTTCCCTGAATGGATGTTCTAAGGCTCAGGTAGCAAGATCAGGCCTACTCACACACTCTCTTTCTTCCATCTTTCCATATCTGACTATTTGACTTCACGTTGTCATCTGCGGATGTCGAAAAAAGTCATGAACCTACTCTTGACAAAGTAAGCAGAAGAAAGTACAGATAGCTGTTTTCAAATCGCGGGTGAAAGTCAAAAGTCTGAAAAATTCATCAGTATTGTTACTTTGGTCCTTCCCACCACTGATGGTTGCACATTTGAAAGAAAAGATTTATAGAACAAATAGCAGGATGGTGGCAGCTGCCACTTTCCAGCTGCTCATCGCTGTCCCGTGCATGTCATGGAGGTCAAAGGTGTACGGATTTGTGTGAGGTTGCAGATCAACTTATGAAGTACAATAGCCATAATGTGTGTGTGTGTGTGTGTGTGTGTGTGTGTGTGTGTGTGTGTGTGTGTGTGTGTGTGTGTGTGTGTGTACCTGTGATAGGGGCTAATGGGCAAGGACTTAGCAGGCGAGATGGCTTTTGTGTCAGTGCAAGTATCCGCTTTAATGTAAAGGATTAAAGCTTCTGTTGTAAAAGGCCGCTTTGAACCCTGATGTTGCCAACGTTGCTCTGTGTGTGTGTGTGTGTGTGTGTGTGTGTGTGTGTGTGTGCTGCTGTTTTTTTTAACCGAGTTCTACTTTTAGTATAATGACTGACCCAAGGGCTTGAAAGGCTTTCAAAACAAACAGAGCAGAAATCAGCAGTCCAGCCACTTGGCTGAGCTGTTGGTGTGTACATGTTGTGGCGATATGGAGACAATGATACTCATCACAGTAAATTGATATTACCTCGTAAATTGCATTTTAGTGTTGACACATGTTGCAGGCAAAAAAAAATCCCCCCCCCCCCCCAAAAAAACAACAAAAAAAACCAAACAACAAAGCCCTTATAATGTTGGGTGTTCCAAAAATGTTACCATGGAAGATGAAAGTAGAGATGATCTGTTCTAGTTCCAAATGATCCAAAAATGATCATAGGTGACTTTTATTAATATACAGGCAATAATTCAATTGACAATAAAATACATCTTTACTTATATAGTGCTTTCACAACAGCTGTAGCTGTAACAAAGTGCTTTCCAAAACAGAGACGTCATGCTCAAAATGTGCACACGTCTGCTGCAAGCCAAGTTTGAAAGTAAATGAGAAGCTGCAGCGT